TGTGTGTGTGTGCGCGCGCGCGTGTGTGTGTGTTTGCATGTGTGTGTGTGTGTGTGCATGTGTGTGAGTGTGTGTGTTTGTGTGTGTGTGCGCGCGCGCGCGTGTGTGTTTGCATGAGTGTGTGTGTTTGTGTGTGCGCGCGCGCGTGTGTGTGTTTGCATGTGTGTGTGCGCGCGCGCGTGTGTGTGTTTGCATGTGTGTGTGTGTGCGCACGTGTGTGAGTGTGTGTGTGTCAGTGTTCATGTTCAGTCTTACTGGCTTTTAAAGGCAGCGTGAACTGAGATTTATATTCTGAGTTATTGTTTTTGCTTGATGTATTCAGTGTTGCAGTATTTTAATGTTTTTGCATTACCTTCTTTAATAACTCAATGTAAAAACTGACTGATCTAAAATCACCAGTCAAGCAGCCTCTCTAATGATTCTGTATGAACTCTACAAACTCTGCTGAACTTTTAAGCCGATTTTAACCGCTCATTGCTGTGTTTATTACTCGCTCACAACGCGCTCTCTGTGTCTGTTTTGTAGGAATGCATAGCGGCTAAATCAGATTAGCATAGTTGCTAGCATTAGCCCACATGTCATAATCTCAAATGGGCAGAGAAACCTGCATAATGGAGTGTTTTGTGTGAGTTTTGCTCTTAGCAAATAAACATGCGACTATATAATAAGCGAGTCGGTATCCGTAGATGAGCACGCGCTACATCCGATTAGAGCAGTGACTCTTTTGGTGTTTCATGTTCAGGGAGAGTATTTGAATGTGACTGTCAATCAAACTCACATTCGGATCTGCTCCGCCCACTACCAGCGTCCAATAGCATGAAGGCGAGAAGGATGTGTATTCTGTGCTACGCTAATGATTGACCTGCGCTACTGTCAGGAGTGCTGTTATTGGATCACTGGATTGACCAATCAAGAACACAACTGATTTTTAATTGTCTTCATTGCCCACAATATGTTGTTCTTCCTCATAAAGTTTTATTATGTTCACATTTGATGTTGCAGTTCGAAATTACAACACCTGCCATAAAACTCTTATCTGCTTCCAGTAGAGCAATCAATCAACCCAAAGAGCTTTTATTACAGACAAGATCCAGGTCAACACTTGAATTGTTTCTGCACTATTCAGGGTGATCAGATCCTGAGCAAATGCTCAATTTACATTAAAGGGATAGTCCACCCAAAAATAAAAATTAGCCCATGATTCACTCACCCTCAAGCCATTCAACCTCCTTGCAACTTTCAGGTAAATAATTTATATAGAAACAAAAATGCAATGGACCCAATATTGAACCTTGTGGGACACCTAGTTTGCGTAGTGTAAGCGCTTTCCCTTTAAGTCAAGTCAGCTATATTTCTATAGTGCTTTATACACTACAGATTGTGTCAAAGTAGCTTTACAGTGTGTCGATAATGCAAACAAAATTAAATTCTGCTGTCAGTTTTCCAGTTAAAGTCAGTTCATCGTTGAATCAGTGATGTCATCATCAGCTCAGATCAGTTCAAATAGCATCTGTGCAATCAAGTCAACAATAAAACTGCAGCACGCACTTATAGTAATCAGAACATTATTGCGTGTTGCTGTGGACGCTAATAGAGTAATCATTAAAGCTGAATGTGCCTTGACTTTAAAAAAAGGTTTGAGAATGTACTTTGTCAATAAACGTCTTCATTGAGATCGAAAGTCATTGTTTCTTACATTGCAGATGGAACAAGGCCGTATATTTACCGCTGCCGCTCGCCCAACATGGAGATCTTCACCTGCTGGTGGCGTCCGATCGTGAATCAGGACAACGTCACCTACACGCTCCAGTACACCACGGGGTGAGACATGAGTGAAACACACTTTACAGAAACAGCACTGATCTAGTGTATCTGTAGAGTGTAAGTGCTGCTGGTGATCAGATGATGAAATGAACAGTGGTCATGTCGCCCCGCAGTGAGCGCGCTCCTCGGGAGTGTCCCGATTACGTGAGCGGCGGCATCAACAGCTGCTTCTTCGATGCCAGACACACTCAGGTCTGGGAGATGTACTGCCTGAACGTGACGGCGCACACACGCACCGGACCCATCGCCTCCCACAAACACTGCGTGGACGTGGCTGATATAGGTGATGCATTACACTGAAGACACAGCTGACATAGGAAATATTAGTATTAGTATCAACTCTTCTGACTGCAGTTCTCGGCACAGACATTTATTTATCTTTCTCAACCTAGCATACATGCAGTTTTCTTATTGAGATATCCCAAAGAGTCTGCGTGTTTATCTCGCCCTACACTTCTTTATTGGCATCGGCGTTTCCATAAAGAGCCTTTTCAACATCCATACACTCTTAAAATATAGGTTTACACTTTATTTTGATACTCCACTTTAGACATTCTACTAACTATAAGTAACTTTGCAACTACATGCCAACTAATTCTCATTAATTTGCTGCTACATGTCTATTATCTCTCAGAGTAGACTGTTAGGTTAGGTTTAAGGTTAGTAGAATAAGTTGACATATACTTGCAAAGTTTCTTATAGTCAGGATGTTGTGGACCCATCAAAATAAAGTGTTAGAAGACATTAAGCAGAGAGTCTACTAATAATGCTCAGATTTTCCGAATGCATCGCGATTATCTCTGGAATCGTTTCTGAGCTTAGTTTTTAACAGCAGATGGTGCTCTGATCTAATTTTTAACCGCAGACTCATACTCCAGAAGAAGTGCTGAAGAGCACCTCGGCTCAGAATGCTTTTATGACGCCAGATTAATGTAAACACAGCCCACTGTGAACACCCTTGTAATTCGCTTCAACTTTTTCGAACTTTATGAATGATTATCAAAGTTTCTTATAGTCAGGATGTTGTGGACCCATCAAAATAAAGTGTTAGAAGACATTAAGCAGAGAGTCTACTAATAATGCTATCTCTGAATCATGAATAATGATTATCTCTGGAATCGTTTCTGAGCTTAGTTTTTAACAGCAGATGGTGCTCTGATCTAATTTTTAACCGCAGACTCATACTCCAGAAGAAGTGCTGAAGAGCACCTCGGCTCAGAATGCTTTTATGACGCCAGATTAATGTAAACACAGCCCACTGTGAACACCCTTGTAATTCGCTTCAACTTTTTCGAACTTTATGAATGATTATTTTAGGTTCAAGTGTGAGTAAGGATTTGGAAACAAGCAGAGTACGGCTGTTTCTAAAGCATGCAGCGCCATCTACTGTTCAAAACTAAGCTCAGAATCGATTCCAGAGAGAATCGCCATGTTCGCCACATTCTAAAAATCTCAGAATCGAATCATTTCTCGATTCGCAATGCATCGATTTATTTCCCCCAGCCCTATTTCATTGGATACAACATTTTTTACACTCTTAAAAATAAAGGTCCCAAAAGAAACAATCGAAGCGATGCAACAGAGAACCATTTTTGGTTCCCCAAAGAACCTTTCATTGAACAGTTCCTAAAAGAACTGAAAAAGATAACAGTGGAAAAATGTTCTTTAGACTATTAAACACATTGAAAAAAAGGTTATTTTAAGAACTGACCACTGAAAGGATCTTTGCGAACCGAAAATGGTTCTAAATGCTTCAACGACATGATTATAAATGTTCAGCTTGTCTTAATGAACTCTCCTGAGGTTTTCTGGAGCGCTGATGTTTCATCATGTCTGTTAACGAGTCTCATGTGCTTCGTCCCCAGTGGAGATCGACCCGCCCTTTAACCTGTCGTACGTCATGCTGAACGAGAGCGTGGGGGAATCGAGCCGCAGTATTCTGCTGTCCTGGCTGAATCCGATTGAGTCTCAGGTGCGTGAGGGATGGATCACGCTCGTCTACGAGCTGCGCTACAGACACCTCGCTCAGCCGGACAACTGGAGGGTACGACACCAGTCTGCTTACAGTGCCTCCGTTTTCATTACGATAACTGTAGAACAGAAATTACAGGTTTTTTTTCAACTGATAATGTACACTGGAGTTTATGAAAGAAGAGCTTTAGGTTTTGAATAACTGTGTATATGATATATCCAAAAATATAATATTATGGCAAAGGTGTTTGCAACATAAGACAAATGTTTGCTTTTGAGATGTGTCTGTGATATTTTGAATGCAGTGCTTCATTTTGCAAGAGATGCGAGGCATTTTGCATTTTGTGTGCAAATCTTGGATTTGTGTGTAAAGTTTTGAAAAAAAAAGAGGCAACAAAATGAAAATGTGTGCAAGCAGTTGAAAAAAACTGTAAGACATTTAGACATTTATGCTTGAGGGCTTGTGGGTGAAGTGTGTTGTTGGTGTCTGCAGGTAAAAGAGCGTTTGCGAGAGCCTCATGTGGAGTTGTTGGATCTGCCGGTGGGAAAGTATGAGTTCATGGTGCGCTGCCGCTCCACCAACAGCAAACACTGGAGCACATGGAGCGAGTCCATCAACATCAGCATCGTCAGCAGACCTCTGTCCGGTACACACACACACACACACACACACACACACACTCGCACACACACACTCACTCGCGCACTCGCACACACACACGCACACACACTCGCACACACACTCGCGCACACACACACACACACACTTGCACACAC